ATGAGCAGTCTCACCAGATCAGTTCAAGATGGGCCAATGCACCATGGCAGAAGCCAGATGGAAGGGAGGCAAGGGCACAGTGCTGTCACTCAGGGCTTGCAGGTATGTGCTGTTTCTGGCACCCAGCCCATCAGAAGCCACAGAGAGCAGGTACCAGGACCCACAGTAAGGTTTTGCCAACAATCTGAAAGACGTAGTTTGTAAATTTTTTGTTCATTTTGTTCTTAGGCCAGGACTTCTCATAAAATACAATAAAAAATGACTAGAAAAAAATGAGATTGGAAAACACACTAAATAAAGCTCAATTTCCTGAAATCATTAGATTCAACAGGTGAAAGGCTTTATAAAATTGCTATAAAACTTCATAAATTTATAGCCTTAATTTTTATTTTTTACCTCATTGTGGGGTCAAGACAGCCTGCAAGGGTGGAATCAGAGACATAAGGGGCCAGCTTACTCTCCCTCTTCCCCCATCCCACCATCTCCTCTCATCATCTGGTCAAACTCAACCAAAAACAGGGACCAGAAGAGACCACATTTCATGGGCTCCTGGGGCAGAGGGTGGAGAGAGAGTGGGAGTTCACATAGGAGCCAGCATGTGTGCATGTGTGCCACGGCATGCATGAGTGAGAGCTCACACGGGAGCCAGCATGTGTGCATGTGTGCCACAGCATGCATGAGTGAGAGCTCACATAGGAGCCAGCATGTGTGCACGTATGCCACAACATGCATGAGTGAGAGCTCACACAGGAGCAAGCATGTGTGCATGTGTGCCACAGCATGTATGAGTGAGAGCACACACGGGAGCCAGCATGTGTGCATGTGTGCCACAGCATGCATGAGTGAGAGCTCACATGGGAGCAAGCATGTGTGCATGTGTGCCACAGCATGCATGAGTGAGAGCTCACATGGGAGCAAGCATGTGTGCATGTGTACCACAGCATGCATGAGTGAGGGCTCACATGGGAGCCAGTAAGTGTGCACGTGTGCATGCATGCACGCGGCATGCAGGTACAGGTCAGAAGAGAAGTTTAGGAAATACACCAAGATGGCTCAGTGGGTAAAGGTGCTTGCTGCCAAGCTTGCCCAACTGAGTTTGATCTCCAGGACAGAAAGAGAAAACCAGTGCCTATATACTGACCTCTGACCTCCATATGTGTGCTGTGGCACTCGCACCCACAGGCACAGGAACATGTTAATAAATGCAAAAGATTGATCAATACTGAAATAGAAAATTGGCCTCCATCTCCTCTTTTCTCAGCCTCATGGGATCTTTCCATCTACTGCATAGTACTGGCCTTAAATTTTTCCATCGCATGGAGAAGCACTTCCCTTAGCTTCCTGGCAGTTAAGCAAACAGACAGATCTAATTTTATTAACCTAATCAGAAAGCCTCATCTTACCCAAACAATTTTTCTTGTAGCTTCCTGGCTGAGATGATCAAAATAAGTCTACCTTGAGTTAAAGCCCTATGGTCTCTGGGTATGAAGAAGAAAATCAGATCAGAGAGCTGGGGATGTAGCTGAGAGTAGTAGAGTGTTTACTTGACATACACAAGACCATGGATTCAATTCCCAGAACTACAGGGGGGAAAAATTAATTAAATCAGTTCAGAAGGCTCCAGTACATTTTTCATAACATGAGCTGCTTTTACATATTGAATTACAAAAGCCACCTTCCTCAAAAAGAACAATAATTTGTTTTGAAATTTATTTTGAGATTATAATTTAATTACACCATTTTTCCCTTCCCTTTGCTCCCTCCAAGCCTCTTATATACTACTCCCCACCCTCCTTCAAATCCACAGCCTCTTCTTTCACTAATTGTTAGTGCGTGCACAGATGCACATGTTTATACGTATATACTCCTAAATATAACCTGTTCAGTCTGAACCTTATTTGTAATATTAAGCCAAAAGAGAGACACCTACCTACTGTCTGCTGTCATTACTTGCTATTGGATAGAGTGATTACTTTTATTCCTTTTGTCTCTACTCTTTACATTTTCTACAAAATTTAAATGAGGAACACTTTCACATGGCATTATACAAAAGAAAGAAGTCTAAACCTCAAACCTTGGCCTTCCCTAGCTGACTTGAATCCAGCCTTCTCCCTGTATCTCTAAATGATGACCTAGTTCCATCACTTCACACACCACCTACCCAGGGCTGATGGGAGCCAGATTCTATTCCCAGCATCCGCGCCATGGCGCATAGCCATCTGTAACTCCAGATCTAGGCATCAGAAGGAAGACTCTCTGAAGGCAAAGGTAACAAGAGGTAAAAAGGAGTCTCAATTCAGCAGGCCCAGCTCTGTCACTTCTGGATTCTGTGGGAACATGTCTGAGGCATATGTCTACCAGGATAACCTGTGACCCAGTCCCACCCAAATACACAAATGCCCGGCAAGAAACCTGTGCCCCTACCCCCACGCCAAGCCTCATTCTCCTTTTCCTAACCCCTGCTCCTAATTTAAAGACAATTCCAAAAACACCCTCTCCTCTGACCAGCCCCATACTCGTAAATAAAGTGAGAAGGTTTCAAAGGCTAAGCTTTTCTAGAATTGAGCACAGTTGTTATTTTCTCCAGCTTGGGAAGATGAAAGCTGAAGACCGATGTATGGACCAGTAGGGTCACAGTTCCTGCAGCAGCAGCAATGTTACTCTGGTATATATGATCTCTGAAGTAGTTCCCTGTTTGGGGGATTTGCTCAGAATGCATTAGCATAAGCAGACCCAGGAGGTTGTGTTAAGTCTGCAAAGGATTTCAAATTTCCTCCACCAAGAGGCTCAGCTGTTACCAGGAATCACGCCCCATCTTTACTAGCATTTCTTCCGAATCCCTTCCGAATTATTCCCAGGTCTTCTTGGAGTCTGTAGTGAAGAATGTTATGGCGTGAACTCACAACCCATACCCTATGCAAGAGTGCACAGGAAGGCTGCAGGGATTTCAGGAGAGCACAGGCCTTTCTCTGACTTCAGCTGGAGACCTTAACAGGACAATGCCTGCTCTGATTGTTTTGTGTGCACCACATGAAGGCAAGTGGCCAGCCTGGTATGAGCACCATGGGCAGCATGACTTGGCCATCCTGGAAGCAGAATAAGGGAGTAGTCCAGGCTATTGTCCAAACAGAGACATCCTGGAGAGTGAAAGGACTGCCATGGATGTCTGGGCCAGGACAAATGTTAAGCAGGAAAGTGACCGATGCATGGTCAACTCCTGGGAAAGTCTTCCGCTTCCATCAGCTTAGGGCCTCCTGCTAGGTTGGTGTTGGACTCTCCCCCAGAGTCAAAAGCAAAGTGTCCTCCCAAATCAAGTCTTGTCTAATTCAGCAAGCTCCCTGGTATCCCAGGGAAGACACTGTCACAAAGGCCACAAAAATAAGAGCAGAGTCCTTACCCCTCTGGTTCCTCACTGCGTCCCCTGAACTGAAATAGTACTTAGCAACTAGTAGGTGTTCAGTAAATATTTGTTGAATGAATAAATGTCTGAATGAGGTTTCTAGAGTCATAAAGAGAACTCCAAGTACCCAGAGAGACTTGGTAACTTAGTAATAAAAATGGTTTCAATTCTAAAGTGTTATAAAAATCTAACATATTTATGAATATGAAATATACATGCCTTTAAAATCCTAGACTGACTGAAACTAAACTTCCACAATCAACTGATTGGGAGAAAATCATTTTGGAGCTACTATTGAGTTCCAAACAAAATGGAACTGTTTCCAGTGCAAACTCACTCATACTTTATTGGACAAATCCAGCATCTCTATGTATGTGTAAGTTCTCTGGGAACCTTGGGGCCATAAGAGAATTAAGTTAACAAGAAATTTAGTAGGGGAAATGGCCTGCAGAACAGAGGAGAAGGAAGGTGAAGGGGGTGAGGCTGGTCTTTAGACTGTGATTTGGGCAATACCCCTGATAAAAGAGAGAGGGAAAGAATACCTTAGGTTCAGCCAAGGTGATAGGGCTCCCAGAGCCAAAACTGCCCAGTAGAGGAACCTATATCAAGGAATTGGCAGAGATTAGGAACCAGAGTGCCTGTCTCTGGCTGGAAAAGCACAGACTCAGCTCAAAGTGTTGAGGCACCCAAGGGGAGGCATCTGGACTCTCAGATCTCCATGCTGGCTCCTGCAGCAGGAGTTCTAAGCAGCAGTGTGTAAGCCTGTGACAGTCTTTCAATAATGTCATGGGATCATTCTGTTCAGTGACTCAGTCTCTGTAAACTAAAGCCAGCTGTACGAGGTAGACAACAAGGAAGCTATCCCACCAGCACCAGCCTCTTCTCCCAAGTACTGCAGCTCCCCATTTCTACTAGGCAAGATATTTTCTCATACAAGTCAATCAATGACAAACTTGGGGGTTTTTTTTGACAAAGTTTTATTTGGAAAATAGAAGTCTATTATTTCATTTTAATATTTCCAAAGAATCAAGCCCATTCTGGGCTGTCCACATGATAGCCACTCAGAGGTCTAGAAAGGTCATCATTTCCATTAAGAAATTCCTTACAGGGCGAGGTTCTGAGCCCTCCATGTCCATCATAGTCAATCAGTAACTGCGATTTTGGTCCAGAAGCCATCCAAGGAGAGCAAGCTCTGAGCCATCCTTAACTCATGCCCAGATGAAACAGCTTTCGAAAAAAGGCTGGACCTCCCCAGTAGCCTCTGTAAGAAGCAACAGAGAGAGACTATGAAGACAAAATGGGTAGAGTGACATCAGCCAACACCATGCTATGAGAAGTCACAAGGGATGCCTATCAGCACATAAGGCAAGACGTGTCTACTGAGGTGGAAAAATCTCATGACTGGGACAACCGCCTTGAGGCCTAGCTTTGACACTGAACTTGCTGTGTGAGCCCAGCATGCTGACTCAACTCAGAAGACCCCTGTGAAGCAGCTGCTACATGAACACTGCTGTCTACTTTGCTTTGCCTCATGACTTCAAAGGGGGCAGAGTCTCTCAACCACACTGACACTTAGGACCCAGTGGTTCCTTATCATGGGGGCTGCCCTGTGCACTGCAGTATCCCACACCCTTGCTCACTAGCTGTCAACAGCATCCTTCCAGTTATGACAACCAAATGCCTCTAAATACTGCAAAATGTCCCCAGAATAATCCAGGATTGAGGATCACTGGTGTAGATACCCTGACATTACCAATCTCATAGGTGTCTGGAAAAGGCAAGAAAAAAATTTATAGCAAAGAGGAAGAGTTATTCATTTGCAGTAGTCTACTTATTGAATGCCTACCAGTGTCTGCCTCTGCATGTAATATCTCCTTAATGTTATGTTCATTTCTCAGATAAGAAACTAAATATCGTCTAATCAACTTGCTCAGCTAGTAAGTGGTAGAAACATTCAAAAGTAAGTCAGAACTGGAGTCTATCTCTGCTCTCTTAATTACTTTTAATTTTTCTCAAACATAATAAAAACCAAAGAAAGGTAGCAGATTAGAAAGTATTTGACATGTGAAAACAGTTTTTATTATAGTATTATCACTAGCATTATTATTTGTCTAATTTAGCTAGGAATAAAAAGGGAATGGAGAGTGGAAGACAGAAGATTTGGTTCCTCCAATGAATGAAGAGAGTGGCACCCCACCACAAGTGGGAGATACTGCAAACTTTCCCCTAACCTCTTCCCCAAGTGTGGCTGAGGCTTGGGAGTCCTTTAAGGGCCACCGACAATTCTTGAGAAATGGCACAGTAGAGTAGGTCCCATTAGCAAGTTCTGATTTGAGTAGAAGCTGGAAGGATCCCAGAAACTGCCCCCAGCCCCATGCAAAAGTTGGTACCCTCTGCACAGGCACCAGATGAGGCACCCACCTTAGCATTATATTCCAATACAAGAAAGGCATCATGTCAGCTTTCATGAGGTACATCGAAAGTCGCTCTTTACTCTGATCGAAGGGGAAGGTTTCCAGAGGCTCGGCTCTGTAGTCAAACTCGGCAAGAATCACACTGTTGTAGCCAGTCACCAGGGGACATGAGGTGTAGCCATCATACTGAAATTGTGAGAATGAGTAAGAATTACTTTCTGTCATGGTAATATATGGAGACTTCATAATTTATTTGCTGACTGACTATAATTGTTTTCTTTTGTGTGTATGTTCCAGTTTTTTGGACCATGAAAAATGCAAATTATCCAATGAAATATAATACTAAAGACAAAAAATAAAGTCCCCATATGGAATACACTAATAAGAAAGTACCAGAATTGTGGAAGGACACTACCTTCATACAGAAAGGATAAATGAAGCAGTAAATCCTATAGGCATACAAACCTTTTTTGTGGGTTTTTGATTCTTCATAATCAGAGAAATTGTTCTATCAAGGATTCCTGACTGGGCAGCTATAAAAGAATGGAAAGCAAGAGCCTCAGGTTTTCCATGAAAACTCATTTGCATATAACATTAATGTGAACAAATGAATAGTAGTGATTCTATCCCCATCCTTCTAGAGCAGTGATTCTTAACCTTTCTAATGGTTTGACCTTTTAATACAGTTCCTCATGTTGTGACTCCCAAACACGAAATTATTTTTGTTACTTCATAACTGTAATTTTGTTACTGTTTTGAATCATAGTGTAAATGTCTGTGTTTTCCTATGGTCTCAGGTGACCCCTGTAAAAGAGTCATTTGACTCCCCCCAAGAAGATCGCAACCCCACTCCTCTAGATTGTGAGCAGAGTATGATTCTTCTTTTACTTGAAGTTCTGACCATCAGAAGGAGGCTCTCAGTTCATCAAACGCCACACAACTATCACTATCAGCTTGAAATTAAGGACCCATCCTCTCTAATAGGATGATAAGCGTAGCTCTACCCAAATCCTATCCCCCTACTCCTGGGGGTTGGTGGCTATCATTTTGGTCTGGATGCCATATTCTAGAGCACTGCATGTCCCTGTTCACAGACAGCCTAGATTGGTAGCCTCAGGCATACCCACTAAGGCAAATACTGGGTTGTCCTCTGTAAGTATTGCCTGGCTGAAGCCAAACTAGCTAGATAGATCTATCCTTCAAATGACTCATAAAAAACATATGAAAATATAAAGAGTAGTAAATCAAATATGTATTTTTTTCAATTTTTTTCATTAGTTGAGATTTTTGGAATTAAAGAAATGGGAGATAATATCATGGATAATGAAAAAGACATTCAGTAGATCTCAAAGAAAGTCTTTCTTAATATTTAGAAAATGAAAGTAACACAGCATGCTCCACAGGTGTCTAATTCACACAGAACACTACCGCCCCCTTAGCTGGGAGGTCCATGTTTTATGGCATCCACAGAGGACAGCTTCTCTCTGTAGAAGACAGAATCTAAAAGGCAATTCTTCCCATCACTGCTAGTGCAGAACACCTAGGTAAAGAAATTTAGTTTTCCAGGCTGAGGCCTTAATCGTGTACCAATCAGGGCATGCTCCGCTGTGCTTGTCTATACAGAACAATTTTCTGGTCTGCGAGCTTTCATTGACTTGCATGTGTTTCCTAGGGAAACAAATGCCTCCTTGCTTTACAGTGGTTTAGGTAGAAGAAAAGTAGCCAACCTGCCTGGTACCAAGGGCCAAGAGTACCAGAGATGTAAGCATGGTAATCAGAAAAGGAGTAGAACCTAGAGAGCTGGAAAAGTGTCACCCTCTTTCAGGTCATTCTTGCCCTGACAGCAGTCTGTGTGAGCTGTGAGGACAGAGTTTTGGTATTTTGGCAAAGCCTTTAAAAGCTACTTCCTTCTCCATACAACATCAGGTTCATTGATCATGTAATCATCCCTTGAGGAAGCCAAAGTCATTTTTAAACCACAAAAGCTTTCTATTATTGAATATAATACTATTAAAATTATTAAGTTATGAAAGCTGGTGATAGACTTCTGTTCTTGTTTTGATGGAACCTTGAGGAGATGTCAGTTTGAGAGGAGACTCGGAGCTGGTTACCCTACCTACTGCAGCAGCAGTCTTTGAAGTCGGAAGGTTGGTGCAGTCCCCAATGCCAAACACATTGGGGTATTTCTTATGCTGCAGAGTCTCTTTATCCACGTCCACCCAGCCAGCAGAATCCGCCACAGGACTTGTCTTGAGGACATCTGGTGAGCTCATAGGTGGTGTGACATGAAGCATTTCATACTATACAAAACAAGAACATCCAAATTTTCATCTCTTCAATGTCTCTACAGCCTACAAGCTTTTCTCTATCTCCCACGTTTTGTACATCAAAATGGCTGCAGGGAGCATTATGCATTAGTGTTTATACCAATCCATATACTCCCCAAGACCTTATGTGCTACTGTGGAGGATGATGAGAAACTAAACAACTGTCCTCTCAGGTTGATACTGTCTGCCTATACTGAGCCCATGACCCTTCAACAGAAGAGATGGGGAACCCAATATTTTGAAATAGAATTCACTAATATTCTGAAATAATCCATTGGTACTCTCATTTTTTGCTAAAAACTGAGCAGTAGCATATATTGCCTATCTTTCTCTGGCCCTCAGCTGTCAACTCAGTACTGTCTTGGTTTGGTTCTTTTGTTGTATTCTGGAAGGAAATGTTTAGTCTCTGAAACTTGTAAAAATTATGTTAAGAACTGGTGTGAGCATTACTCCCAAATAGGACTCAGCTCTTAAAACACATAAAGAAAAGTGCCAGTCACCAGCATGAAATGGCAAACTGAGTGATAAAATTCTCTGACACCTTGGAGAAGTAAAAAGGGATCTTGTCTAACTTTAGGTTTATTAAGTAGTGTTGAATATAGGGGTGGGTTTTCTTTTCCCAAACATCAATTAAGGCTGTCCTTGATGATCCTGTGCTGAGGCTTTCACTCATTCATTAAATTTTTTATTTACCTAATATTCTTCTACTTTCTGTAGGTCATATCTTTTATTCATTTTATTTTACAATTCCATGTCACAACTTCAATGTATCATCAGGTCTGTAGTTAAAAGTTTTCTCTGGTCCTGCCCAGCTCCTGTGGACCCACAGCCCCACAGTCCCACAGCCGTTCAGATCTAAGTAAACTTTCAGCTACAAATGGTGCCCCATGTTGGGTGCCAATTGTAGACAAATTTCTAAATGGTCTTAATATATAAAAAACACAGAGCCAAATATAGGGGTGAAAGCCTTAGAGAAAGATCAGAGTAATAGGACAAACCACTAGCTAATCTCACCTCACCAACTTCACAGCTTCCAAAAGAGACCTTCTTCCTGTATACTCATGTTTATATGCCCTTTCTATTCTGTTCTCTCATTGGCTTTCTTAGCCCAGCTATATCAGTTCCTCTTCCTACATAGCTCTGTCACTTTCTGTCTGTCTGTATAGACCTCCAGACCTCTACAGTTTAACTAGTGTTGGAATTAAGCCATGTGCCACCACACTTGGCTCTGTTTCTAGTGTGGCCTTGAACACACAGAGATCCTGCCTGCTAAGTGATAGGATTAAGGGCCTGACTTTTTTGTTCACTTAAAATGGCTTGCTCTGTCCTCTGATCTCCAGGCAAGCCTTATTTATTTATTTATTTATTTATTTATTTATTTATTTATTTATTCATTCATTCATTCATTCATTAAAGCACAAATAAAATAAAATAAAAATAAAATATCACCACATTTCAGAACAAATAAAATATCACCACACAGGTCTACATCTGGATACACTTGAATATTCATATTTCATCAGGGTAAAAATGTTAACATGTTAAGGCCATCTCAACCTTGTGATAGTCAACAGCCCCTAGTGTCCAGTGCCCTCATCTGGACTGAACAATCACTGGGCCAGAAATCAAAAAGCTGAGTTGTATTTATTCAAACTGTCTGTCAGTTACAGGATTATTTCAGCTCAGGAAAGTGTTGCACATTATTCACTTGAGGGGCCTTTTGAGGGCATGAGTCTCTGACACCAGGTCTGTTTGTCAGTGATCGTGGAGAAATCTGGACCACTTAGCACGCTGTTTATAAAGTATCCCAGGCTACTCAGCTTTAGGGAACATTCATTCTTACACGGCCATTCTCAGCCTTTGTTGAACATGAGAGTCTTAGGGCAATTTTTGAAACTCAGTCTTCAGCCATCCTCAGTCCACACTTCAGGCCAATTAATCAAAATCTGTGTTATAGAGACCCAGGAATCAGCACATTTTAAGAGCTCCCTGGGTAATTCCAACACTGGGAGCAGATACTTGAAAGCCTTCAGTAAGCTTTTTGATATTCATAGGCTAAAAGCATAACTGAAATATTTGAGCTGAAATCTTATCACTCAAAGGTGACATAAATATCTTCCTACTTTACAAACTTGGTAAAAAGAAAACATCCACTCATTCATCCAGGCCTCTATCCACAGCCTCAACTCCCCAGACCACAGCTGAAAACCACAGTTTTAAAAAAAATCACAAAATTAAGTTCCTTTGCTCAAGGTCACACTTTTCTCACAGAGGTTTGCTTTAGACAGTCAAGTCACTCACAGCCCGTTCACTTCCACTTGCATAAAATTCGCAATTTTGGCTCACTTGTTTTCCAAAAAAAGAAAAAAAAAAAGAATTGGGAGCAGCAAGTTTTAAAATCTGAAGGTGGGAGGCCCTTCCAAAACTCACAACTTCCTGACAGCCTGGAAAACTCAAACACAAAAGCCACTATCAACAACAGCCATAGAAAAGAGCAGAGGGCCTTGTGTGAAATGATAACCAGTAGCCATACACACTCCAGTGGGCCCTTTGCACACAGCTGCATGAGAGCTGTTCCCAGTGAGGACCCTGGACTGGAGGAGACAGAACCAGACTAGCAGAGACCAAGTGTAACAGCAGACAGCGTGCAAGTGCTAGGAAAAAGAAAGAAGTGTGTTGCGAGGACACAGAAGCCAGTCTGAAGAGGCTTCTGACCAAATCTGGGACAATTTGACTACAAAAATAATTATAAAAGCATTTAATGAATACTAAAACATTGGAGAAAATGAGCATCTGTGAGTTCATGCCAGTCATTAATCGATAAATATAAAAGGAAAGGCTGGCTGGAGGGATAGCTCAGCCATTAAAGGCTAGGCTCACAACCAAAAAATAAAAGGAAAGGCACTTGCTGACAAAATGCCTTACTAGTAAGTGTGGATGAAATTCTGCGGTCATCACACTGGAAGTGAGACAGATGAGTACTATCACCAGGGACTAAGTCGGGTTAAAGAATGGAGTGCATGCGTGACCTGAAAATGTCTCTCTAAAGACTTTCTTATTAGCAAAGGAGAAAGAGAATAGTAATACCGTGGAGAAACCAGACTGTATCTAGACTGGAGACCAGAGCAAACCTCCAGTGAGGAGCCTGTATGCTTGCAAATGCAATTCGCTAGACCACCCTGTTACCTGTGCCATGCTCACAAAGCAAAACTCATCACTAGACATGAGGAAGGCTTCTGAGAAAGTTTAGAAGGTTATTTTGTCCCACAATGCCAGAGCCATAGGAGATAAAGAAAAGCTGTGGAAATGCCCCAGATTAAAGGAAGCTAAAGAGACATCAGACTAACTATTATATATATATGATGGAAGAATGCTGTAGAAGCTATTGGGCCGATCAACAAAATTGGATACAGGTAGTAGATAAAAACATCATATATGTGCCAAATTTACTAAACTGATTAACTACTATAGTTTCATTTAAAAAAATTAACCTTATCTTAGGAAGTTTATCAGAAAAATTATCTGGAGATAAGGAGAAGAATGCTTGAATGTAACTTATATTTAGGAAAATTAACAGAAACAGAGATTGAGGGGAAATAAAATAATAGAGCTAAAGCAACTGCTATAAGATTCTTTATGTGAATCTAGCTAAAGGCAAACACAATTTTATTTCTGTCATTTTTGTTTTTATAACTCCTCCAAGTTTGAGGATATTTCCAAATAAAGGATTTTTAAAGTATGCCCCTGAGCCATCAGTAACATTTTTAATGATATTTAATGTATTCTGTTTAAGAAAGAAAAATGGGTGCAGTAGATTTTTAAAAGAGCTTAAGCTAAAAAGACTCAAATTTAAATTTTTGATGTTTAGAAGACTAATCTCTGGTTCATTCAAAATTCCTTTTTATGGAACCCTTCGTCATTAAATACAGAGCACAATGTGAGCGCACTTTCTCACTGCCAGAATGCCGTGAACAAATATTCTCCAACACCATTGCACCTTGTGCTCAACTTCATAATTCCTCTACAAAAGTAGTGTCCCCACTTTGTGGGAAAGGAAACAGGTGCCCAAGACCCAGAGCACACAACACAGCCAGAATCTTTCCAAGGAAGGTGGTGGCTCTGTCATGTCCCTTGAGAAAGAATTTAAGGGCCGAATGTTTGCACAGGGGAAGAAAGATGTATAAAGACACCTTCTTCCACAGGTGAAAAACACCCCTGTCTTGCTTGAGAGACCCACAGCTTCCTTCCCATTCACAAGCAGGGCTGTTTCTCACACATCAAAGATTGAGACCATCACAGAGCCTTGCAGTTGAGGAAGCCCTTCCTAAACTCTCCAGGCAATAAAAAGTCAAGTGAAATAGTTTGAGGGATCTCT